TATCCTGCACCCCACTCCACCAGTCACCGTCGTGCCTACAGATTTACAAAATCTGACTTCATTATTACATACGTATACCAAGTTTTGTATGTATGTAGAACACATAGCGTATAGGAAATATGTGTCTAGTCGTTGAAAAAAAAAGCATCAACAAAGTATTTCAGTATCAAATGCATTCAAAAGCCAGATATTGGTCCTATTCTATTTAAGCAGGTTTCGTGAGTGGCTCTTTCATGAAACATCAACTACTTAAGATCTTTTTTTTTTTTTTTTTTTTAACAGGGGACTGGTCTCGTTTTATAAATGTGTATGTTCCAAAATTATAGGGAAGGAAGTTATACATAAGGTAGGTTTGTGCTGGGTGGTAACAAGATGTTCAGCTCTGTTCCAGCCACTAAAGGTAGGACACTTGCTCTGCCCACTTACAGGTCTGCCTAAATGTGGACTGCTTGTACAGTTGGGCCATTATAGAAAACAGCGGTAAGAAAAGCCCACTGAAGATGCTCAATCTGGCAGCAGCCAATTCTGGCAAAGGCACCAGCTCTCCTCTCAAATGCTGATGAGCAGGCACTATGAAGCATAGAAGGAATTTTCGGAACATCAAACGTTTGCTCATAGAGAGAGTCTTTTGGGTGATGGTGGTAGTAGGTACATGTCTTAACAATGATTAGGGATAGTCTTCACCCAGGAACCAACAGACTGAAACCCAGGGGTCCTGTGGGAGACAGAGAGAGCGTGGGCGGGTGGGGGGTCCGGGTATGGGGCTGGGGATAGGTTTTCCTCCTTTACTATGTGCGGGCTCAGAACCCTTGAGTGAAAATAGGAGAAAATGTTTTAGGAACCCCCAGTATAGTCTTGCATCATAAGGCAGTGAGTTCTGCTGTACACAAGGTCACTAGAGCCCACCATGTCCAAGCCCTACCCTCACCCAGAGGGGGAGATATGGGACACGTCCATTCTCATCCTCAGATGCCACGTATAAACCGAGCATCTTTGTTGTTTATGCTACCTAGCTACGCTGAAGCATATAAATAGACCCACTCACCCACACACCGTTTTCTTCTGCACACAACACAAAGGGTAGCTTTTTCCACTATTGTGAAGGACACTGCCAGCAAGACTGGTGTTTGAAATAGGAATGATTGCTACATTTGGTAGTATTTAAAAAATTCTTTTTTAATGTTTATTTCTTTTTGAGACAGAGACAGAGTGCAAGTCAGGGCGGGGCAGAGAAAGAGGGAGACACAGAATCCGAAGCAGGCTCCAGGCTCTGAGCTGTCAGCGCAGAGCCCGACGCAGGTCCAAACTCATGAACCATGAGATGTCATGACCTGAGCCGAGGTCAGCAGCTCAACTGACTGAGCCACCCAGGCGCCCGCCCCTTTTCTATTGGAATTTTATTTAAAAAAAAAAAAAAAAAAAAACTCCTTTAGAAAAACTACCACAAACTCGTAGTTTATAAGCCAGTGATTCTAGGATTCAAAATAAATACCCATGCACTGTTTACCAAGGAGTGCTGATTTGGCCTCCTATGTGCCTCTATAGTGTCTTCCTTTAAGTTACAATTCACTGTAAATAGACACATCTTCTAATCTTAAGTACTGCTTTACACTTTCCGGCCATAAGAGCCAGAGCAGCACGTGCACTGAACATTCTGGCACATTCTCTCTCACATGGGGCCAAGGCACCTGCCCTGTGGATGTCCTCGGGAATGGACGTTCTGCAGGGCTGGCTCAAGTGGAGGGTACTGGGCAGTGTGCCATTCACCACTCTGCTCCCTCTTTCTTCGCTGCTGTGTCCTGTGACCCACAATAGCCACGAAAAGGAAATGAAGCAAAGACAAAAAGGAACAAAGATCAGGACTGGAAGTTAAACTCATAAGCTTTACCGAGGCTTAAAGAGGCCTTTGAGGAAATAGTTGAGGAAATACCAGAGGCAATTAGGGATCCTCTGACGTCCTTGCAGCCTGGGAGCACTGACCTGGGAGCACTACTAACACTTCTAACGCGCCGGAGAAATCTATGGCTGGCCAAGGCAAGTCAGAGCTTCCGTGCCCCTACCTGGGTGATAGCTTCAATTCTAGGGGCAAGCCTTCATGGCCTGTGAACAGAAGGTGGCGGTGCCCATAGCAGTGTGTGGGCATGCTAGCCATTACTTTTGTGAGTCTCCTGCTCAGCAAGGTTTACAGAGTTATATTAAACTCACTCCACTGGACTGTGTGCAAAATGAAGTTTTTCATTTCACCTCTGATTTTTATCGCCTGTAGTCTGAACAAGCATAAATCTTCCACAGGAAAAGAGTGATTCGGCTGGATTCTACTTATACTCACAGGGTTGTTTTTGTTTTTGTTTTTTTTTCCCTACCGTAAAAATCTTTTGATTTTACTTATTTAACATATCAAATGTCTTAGGGATAGAATTGTAGTTTTTTAAAGAAAACAAAACTTTCCCTCCCAACGTTTCAATTCAGTACTTAAATTCAGAAGCCACAAGAATGCTAAATATATACTATCCATGATGATGAGCTGCCTTACAGCTGGGGCACAATAAAGATAAGGCGTTGGGGCTGTTCTGCTAATATATAACCTCAAACCCTAACACGGAGCAGTTTTAAACCCGGATAATGAAGTGCTTGCTGAAGGAAATCTTAACTTCAGCACTCGAAAAGGCGATCTTAGAAGTCGTATCTAAGACAGATTTTTTTAAATGGCTCTTTGGCAACCCTCCCTGTGTCGACAGAACTTTCCTGAGCAAGTACCTCTTGGGGTGAGGAATGCACGTAACTAGAAGAAAGGCCCCAATGAGGTCAAGCTTGAAGCAATGGGGCAGGACAGGCTTGGTAGTTTATTGTGGGGCAGATGCATAATCAGTGAAGAAAGGAATCATTTTTCTTAAAATTTGAAAACTATTTGCTCTAATCCCTACTAATAGCAGAAATCCTAATTTCTCTACCCTAGGGGAAATTAGGGAACTGGAGACTCCTGGGCATGAGCCCTCAAGTCCTAGGGTGGGTTTCCTGGTCAACCACTTGGGACCTCTGTATCCTTATATGTCAAGTATCTATACAGTGGGTAATTAATTACCTTAATAGCAGGCTGTGGAATACACTTTAAATTATTTGAGTTTTAAAACACTGGTTTTAGGACATTAAACAACAGAAGTAAATATAATTTTAAATAAAAAACTATAATTCCATGGAATTCAACAAAATCAAAACCATCTTTTTTTTTTTTTTGGAAAAGATTTCTTCTGTAAAACTTAGCATCAAATGATTCTCTGCCCTGTCACAAGTGAAGATTATACTAGCACAAGGGGGATAACTCACATTTAGACTCTGGTTTTCCAGGCATATCAATACCAGACAAGGCTTCCAAACCCAACTGGACATGTCACCAGTCAGCCTCCTCTCCTCAACCTGTGCACCTAGGAATCTCATCCACTGTACCCAGTTACCGAAGTAACAAGACAACACGTACATGAATATGTGTGTGTTCTATTTTAACATTAATTCTATCACACATCATGCACAGGTTCTTAAGCGGTTAAGTTAACATGGGAATTTCAGGGTCAGACAAAACATTTTAGTCAATTACGGTAAGATTTTAACACAACAGTTCACCTAATGTTCTGGACATCTATTGAAGATTTCGCAGTTTTTGTCAAAAATCACCAGAGAAGGACAACTCTTGGACGTGGGTAAATTACTTAAAGAAAATTTATTCAACCCAAAATAGAATGAATCTACTTCTTACAGACTGGAAGTTTCTATACTGAAGGGCTGAATTTCTGGGTGATCACCCAGTGTGAAGTGGGGGTGAGGGAGGCCTGGAAGGCGAGAGGCCCAAGTCTGAATCTAGGTTTATGATTTTGCTTTTATTGTCGGCTGCTTTGCTGAGCCCGGAGTTCAGTGGAGTTCATAATTAATCAAGATCAAAGGATTGCCAGCTTAAAACAAACAAAACAACCCACCCCTGAAGAATCCTTTCTTCTTCTCCTACTTTTTACTCTGAAAGCAAGAATTTTATTTGAATTTCCCTGTTTTACACACCCTTCCGAAAGTGGTATTTACAATCCACATTTAAACCCCCAAAGGCCAGCTAATGGAAATCTTCGATTACTACAGAAAATGAACTCTCACCACATGAAAGTACACACGTAATAGAAAAACTGGCACTTCAAAACACAAATGGCAAAGGGAGTTGTTTAAAGTTAATAATCTCCAATTCAGGTCTTTAAATTGCAGCCCTTGAACTTCCAAGTCCGACTTTCTCAGAATATCTTTGGTTGCTTTCTCACTGAATTGGAGAAAAGAAAGGAAGAGTGGACTTAATGATCGGCATGCTGAAACGTTTAGGGAGAAATGCAGTAGTATCTGCAACCAGTCGGAAATACATTAAAAAAATAACACGGAGTCTTGGATGGAGGGATGGACAGATACATACATGTGCGACAGAGCAAGAGCAGTAACGTGCTAGTTGCAGACAGGATATAGTGAGTGTTGGTACACTTGTTTCAACTTTTCTCAACAACTGAAAACTTCCATAAACATGATGAGAGAGAACGTTCATAGTGCTATACTATTCTAAATGGCGAGCAACACTAAATCAGAAGTTGCTGATAATGGTACTAAAGTCAGGTTACCTCTCCTCACGCAGTCCAGCTCACACTTCCCACTTTCTACTTGCCACTCCCCACCCCGCCCACCCTAAAACAAACCCCGTGCTGAAAAGGTCAGGAAATTACTTTACCAAACTATGTTTGTTACTACCAGTTCTAAATCTACAAAATCCTCTATGAGCCAGTCCTTAATAAAACCTGCTCTCACACAAAAGAAGGTGATAATTTAGCCCACGAGGAGGAAAGGAAGTCAGCATGTGGAGCTAACAATATGCTGGCTAGATTTTAAGAGCCTCCCTGCTTCTGTCCCCGACAGATCTATTGGACAAGGATGCCCTTTCAGGCGGCAAGAATTACCAATTCATTTATTCCCTTTCTTCTAGGATTCGGCCACCTGCTTCGACAGAGATGAAGAGCTTAACACACAAAGAAAGAAAGAAACAAAGTACACGCAAGGCATCTGTTCTCCCCGAAGAATTCTGGATCTCTTCCTTTCCCAGGTAGAGCCCAGGGTACAGGTGGGCCTACAGGTGGAGTTTAGGTCTTCAAATCAGGATTAGCAAAGAGCCACACAAGTAAGTTAGAGATACACTTTTTTAAGCTAGAAAAAAAAAAAATAATAATCACAGAAACCATCTACTAGACCCCTCACTTAGAAAAATTGTAATTCAGACAGGAGAAGGGACTTGTTCAAGGTCACTGGCACTGGGAACAAATACAGGACTAAGATCTCATCTCTGTAAACAGTCCCTTCCCCCACTTTTTCTTTTTCTTTTTTTTTTTTCAACGTTCATTTATTTTTGGGACAGAGAGAGACAGAGCATGAACAGGGGAGGGGCAGAGAGAGAGGGAGACACAGAATCGGAAACAGGCTCCAGGCTCCGAGCCATCAGCCCAGAGCCTGACGCGGGGCTCAAACTCCCGGACCTCGAGATCGTGACCTGGCTGAAGTCGGACGCCCAACCGACTGCGCCACCCAGGCACCCCTCCCCCACTTTTTAAAGAGAGGTTCTATGTTGTGGCAAAGATTTCCCACATCTAACTTAGGTGATCTAGAGGATATAAATTATTCTCACAGGTCTCTTCAAGCTTAATGTATAGGCAACTGATTGTTGGAGAAATGGAGGAGGTATCGCTAATAACACAGCCACATGAAAAAAATGGCACTGCTGGGGAGTGGAGCTGGAAAGTCCTCCTTGGCTTGGCAACACTTCCCAGCAGCAGAGGCAATCTTCATTTTCAGATGGCCAGTCTAGCTAGTTTCCTAGGTCAGCAGACATGACCTCTACTGCACATCTTCTTCTCCTTTTTGGGTGAGACATCCCAGACTCTAAAATCTGAGAGTGAGCCTCAGTTTCTTCATATGTAAAATGAGGGGTAAGGGCCCAATGATCTTTGAGGTCCCTTTTCAACTTCGGCCCCCGTTTTAACTTTTGTGGTTGTTTCTTTTTAAAGGGCCTTAAGGTCCTTCAGCTCTGCCAGAGGGCTTAAGCAAATTTAAGCCACCCAAATATTCTACAAAAGCAGATCAGAAATCATGCAGCAGTAAAATGCAACCGAAAATATATTTTGATTTGGGGGAGAAAAAAACCCCTCCAACTACAAAGACCTGAAACCACAACAAACTAACAGATACGTTCTCTCGGTACAAGTATTATTATGCAATTATAAGGTTCCCAGGAGCAAAATGGGTCTATCAAAGTATTTCTAAAAAACATGAAAATGATGAAAATTGTTTCAAGAAGTTTAGTAAGACCTTTGAATAACGTAGGCATGATGCAGCCATCTAGCTGGGTTTACGCATCCACAAACATGAGATTCCCTTTAGCCACATGGAAGAAAATCCCCAAGACATATTTATAGACCAAATGCAGGCAAAGAGAAGAGGAGGGATGTACTCCCTTTCTCCCAAATAGTTCATCCTCTATGTTTTATCAACTGTCTCAAGACAGATGTTCCAGTACCAAATCTTCATTACCTTCAGAGAGGAAGGGAAAAAATGTTAGGAAAAGGTAATGAATCAACTGCCTAACTTAAAAATGGGGAGAGATATTTATTACAGACTTTTGATAAAGCAACTCTGTGCACTTCAAGCTTCATGTTTGGTCCAGGCTCCTTCGAGGTCACAAAAGAGTTCTGATCTAAAAATTTTCTTGTAAATCAGTTTTTTGAAACTGGAATGTATTTTTCCCATAGGAAAAACCAAAACCGGTTGAGCACCAGGATTTCCAATCTAGTTCGTGACAGCCTCATCAATTCCTCAAATACCTGAATCATAGTTATATTCCCAAATGGTTTTGATTGCCTCCTACGAGTGTCCTTAAATAGAAGCTTCATTCCCGGGGCACATGGGTGGCACAATCAGTTAACCATTGGACTCCTGATCTCGGCTCAAGTCATAATCTCAAGGTTCATGAGCTCAAGCCCCGTATCCGGCTCTGCGCTGATGGTGCAGAGCCTGCTTGGGATTCTGTCTCTCCTCTCTGACACTCCCCCGCTTGTGATCTCTCTCTCTCTCTCAAAATAAATAAATAAACTTAAAAGAATAAAAAGAAAAAGAAAAAAAGAAGCCTCATTCCCGACCTTCAGTGGGACTGGCCAGTTCTATTTAGTTCTGGAGCTAAAAGGGTTCCTGTCTGGGTATGGGCTAGGGGAGAAAGGGTAAGCAAGGAGGAACCCCCAAACTTCTGATTTAGGCTTCATCAGGGACCCCTGAAATTTGGCACCACTGGACCCTGACCAGCCCTAAAAAGGGCCAACCTGATGACTGTCTGCTAATAACATTGAGAAATCTTTCACTTAGGCAAGCAAGCACACAAACCAAAAGGAAAGCACTTAAGTTAACCAAGCTCGCAATGACTGGTTTCAATGCAAATGTAACAAGCGTATCAGTATCAACACTATAGTTTAGGAATTCCAAATTAGGTGTTACTGGGGAAACTGCTCTTTCCTTCCTTCCATGGTGGCAGCGACTGTTGCTGAACAATCAGAAGGGCGGGGACAAAGCAAGTTTCAGGCTCACAGGATGATCATGCAGCAGCAGATTCTTGACTAGTTCTTCACCACAACAGAGACAGGATTTGACCTACGAAGGCAATTTCCTTCCGAGTTATTACAAAACAGCTGTCCACTCAGGACATGTGCTTCTATTAAGTTACTCTCCTGCCATAAAAGAACAGGGCAAAAAAGGAGAATGCCAACACCAACTAGCTGCCAAGCTTGCTCACAGTTTAACCAGGTATTCTTAAAATATTATTTCATTTATGGGAGAATATTCTAGTTTCATTTCAAAAAGAACTTCCAGGGAACACTAGAGCTGTCCCCACATGACAAAGTCTACCAGCTTGTGGAAGGACTAGAAACTGTTTTATTACAAGACTCACAATCTTCACAGATAACTGAGACCTTTGGAGGCTAAGCTGCTGAACTGGGCTTCCCTGACCATCACCAACATGCATATTCCATGGAGCCCAACCAGGTGGTAGGTCATGCATTCAGTGGTGGCTGAAGACTACTGCCTGAGGCAGGGCAACCAAGTGGCCACGGCCAACCACCCAGAAAGCTTTACTGACAAGGTGGCGGTCTGTACGACCAAGCCAATGTAATTACGCTACCTTGAAGTCATGCTGTCACTCTTGGCTGCCATTTAATATCGGAAGAAAGAATAAGAGGGCCCCTGTCTTAATGTCATTCAAGAGGAACTACCCACAGCTCGTTTCATTCACCAGTGTGCTTCAGCCACCTCCTAGGACTAAGCTCATCTCTAGGAAAGTCACGATCCCCAAAGGCACTGCGCATACACCATCCCAGACCAAAAACTGCTACCTACCCAACGATTTCCTACAGTGAGTAACTTGGCATATGGAAGCTCTTGTGTAAACTGAAGAGGCTGGATAAACATAAGGTGATATGACACAATGGCACTTTTTCTTGTGTGTTTGCATATACAGGATTAACTCTAACACTGAAAGTGAATTCTTTTCTCAAAAGGTAATTAATTTCACACCTATGTTCACTGCAGCATTATTCACAACAGCCAAGAGGCAGAAATAACCTAAATGTCCATCAAGGGATGAATGGATAAAAAAATGTAGTATATACACATGAATTATTTTTCAGATTAAAAAAAAGAAATCTTGCCATTTGCTACAACACGGTTGAACCATGAGGGCATTATACTAAGGGAAATCAAGCCAGTCACAAAAATATAAATACTGTCTGATTCCACTTTCTAAAGTAGTCAAACTCATAGAAACAGAAAGTAGAATGGGGACTGTTGAGGTCTAGGATAAGGGAGGAATGGGGAGTCGTTTAATGGGTGTAGTTTCAGTTTTGCAGGATAAGAAAGTTCTGGAGATTGGCTGCGCAACAAAGTGCATAATTAACACAAATGTACCGTATACTAAAAATGGCTAAGATGGTCAGTTTTATTTATTTGGCCTTTAAAAACATTATTTATTTATTTATTTATTTGGCCATTTTAAAAAAAAAAAGACAACTAATTTGAGAAACAAAAAGGGGACACTCGAAATAAGTATACTCAGGAAGGACCCCAAATGCAGGAATTTGGGGCTTTGGCTGAGGAACATTTCTGTAGTCCTTAAGAAGTAAGGACATTAACACTTAAAAATAAAAACAAAACAGGGGTGCCTGGCTGGCTCAGTTGAAGTGGAGCATGCGACTCTTGCTCTCGGGGTTGTAAATTCGAGCCCCCCATTGGGTGTAGAGATTACTTAAAAATCTTTAAAACAAAGCAAACAACCCACAAAATCCTCCCCTAATTATCAAGACAGCATATGTCCATTGTGCAAACTATATACATCGCTAAAGACCTTCTCAAGGTAACTATAAAAGGAAAATCTTATGCCTCAAATATAAATGTAAATGTGGCCTATGCTTTTTTCTTGTGTATACAAGACAAATCACATATATGAAAAACACAAACCTTTCCTTTGTAATTGGTTTCACTGATAAAAATGGCTTTTCTTACAAAATCGCATCAAAGAACAGGAGAAAGTTAAATGTAATAGACTTTCCCCTAATTGTTAGCTCTAACAAACTCCCCTCATCCTTGCCCAATGAGATTTGAATAGAATGCGTATCATGTTTACAACAGAAGTGACAGAATCCCCCCAAAATATTTTATATGGTGAGTCCCTTTTCCTCTGTTCAAAACCTTAACCTCTGTTTCAAAGATTACTAAAACACACACACACACACACACAATCACAAAGGTTCTCTAATGGTTCCATTTCTTCAACATGGGGGTTAGTGATGTTTTTTAATATTTCTCAAAACAGAAAAAAGGGGCTGTTTTATTTTTCTTTGGAACAAGTTCCTGCCAGATTTTGCACATTGCAGCTCTTTGGCGATGTGATGAGAACACACGCCCACCCACAGCCACGAATTCTGCTCTTCACCCTTCCCAAGCAGCCCTTATGACACATGCTGTCTGCTCTCCATTTCATGGAATTCAAGAGGCCCAGTCAAACAGCAGGCC